TGGTCTAAAGAGGCGTGTTAGGGACCATAGTCGACGAAAGAAGACGGAAACCACAACAAGTGATGCAAGGGGTGGGGAGATAAGCCTAAGCTGAGTAAGATGTGGCAATCAGCATAACAATATGATTAGTCTGCTTTAGTCAATAGCAACCGAATACTGATAAATCCATCCAAAATGATCTATGTATACTTTTGACTCCTAGATTGTTTTGATGTGAAAGAGTATCCTTTTTTTGTGAAAAATAAATCCAAACGCCTACTGTTAAAGTGTCTGGTCTGTGGTTGCCAAATGCAGTAAGCAGCTGTCATGTTGATTGTTACTGTAGACATTGTAAGGCGAGTTTGAAGCAGTAAAGTCGGTAACGATTTAAAAAATATCGAAAAATAAAAACATCTCTACTCAGTTGGAAATATTTTGGGGGTCTGCAAAGGCTAGAAAAAAGAGATTTGTTGACTCCATTTGCAATTATATTTCTAACCTGACCTAAAAATAATAACACTTGAACGAGCATTTTCTATACCGTTCATAAAATCGAAATTTCGTTGTCTATTATACCGTTATGTCAGGATGGAGAATTTTGATGGTTAAGCAACGTTGATGTAGAAAACGATCAGCTGGGAGCATCCAGATTATATATATATATATATATATATAGCCAATCCCTGTTGCAGACGCTTGCTCAGGCACATTTGTGTTTGCCCAACATCAACAGAGCCCACTTGTGGCTTATACTGCAACTATGATTTGTAGACCTTACTTGCAGTTTCTGAGAGAAAGCGTGTTATCAACAATTTGAACAAGGCCAACACGCTCAAAGCCTCGGCCACGATGACTTGTAGCTTTGTGCTAGCACAGCTATCGACGGCCCTCAAGAGTTCCGTCTAGCCAATTTCACTCATAAAACGTGGTATGGTTTTCTGGCACTTTCCGAAGGTGTCTCATGCTGGGGTTGACCTCGATCCATTCCGATAACATCAGGAAGTCTACTTCCTGACAATTCGACCATGGTGAGATTCGAAACCTGGGTCTCATGGTCAGAAAGTGAACGTTCTAACCACTCGGTTATATATATATATATATATATATATATATATATATATATATATATATATATATATATATATATATATACTCACCCAATTGTCGCAAAAGTGAAATTAACAGACATCTCATTTTAACATATATATTTACCAAAATTACACAAAAATATCTTGAAATGCTAAAGAGTAAATGTTTTCAATAAAATTGCCATTGGTTTCAACCACAGCCTCCAGATGACTTCGGAATCTCCTGCAACTCTTCTGGGTGGTCTCCTAGTTTAAGTTGGTGAATGCTGCCATAATCTTTGCCTTCAGTTCATCTTTCATGTTACAAGGAGTTTTATTCGTCTGTCGTTCAACTGTGTCCTACACATAATAATCAAGAGGGGTTCAGTATGGGGAGTTAGCTGGCTAAATGTAAAGGGAGATGTAGCTATTGTTATTGTGTTTATTTTTGTTCTGACATATATAAATTGATATATTATATTCTCCCATATATATATATACACGCTCTATCTCTGATATTGAGCACTTTATTCCATAAATATACAGCACTATATTTCTTTATAATATATATATATTATATATATATATATATATATATATATATATATATATATATATACAGAGAGAGAGGGGGAGCGGGAGAGAGATTTAGTAATAAACTATAAAATTGCAAATTACATCATGGGGTATAGAAGGTGCGATGGATAAATTGTCATTTAAATTAAGCAAAAATGAAAATAGCACTGACATCTCAGATATATTTACCAAAATTACACAAAAATATCTTGAAATACTAAAGAGTAAATTTATTCAATAAAATCACCATTGGCTTCAACCACAGCCTCCAGACTTCTTCAGAATCTCCTTCATCTCTTCTGGAGAGTCTCCTTGTTTAATTTGGTGAATGCAGCTATAATTCTTGCCTTCAGTTCATCTTTGGTGCTACAAGGAGTTTTCTTGATCTTTCACACATAATATTCAAAGAACGATCTATCCTGGTAGACGAAATAAAGGGTTCGGTTCGTCAGTCATCTGAAGAAAGTAGGAGTGTACAACGGCCGAAGCATTGTGAATATGACAACAAATATAGGGACAACATTTCGTAAATAGTGTAAATAATTAAAATACCTCATCTCAGAAATATAGACAAATACTGAAGGAGTGAATATGGCAACAAAGATGAGGACAACAGTCCGAACAATGTAAATAGTGTAAATAATTACAATATCTTATCTCAGAAAGATAGATACTGTACCATTATTTCTAGAAAAAAAAAAGAATTATATGACTGACCCTCCAAACATTTTTATTATTTTGCTTTGAGAGAAAGCTACCATTTAAGTGCCTTAAATGGTAGCTACCAAAGGCTTTTTAATCAGAATGTTCCCAGTTTTACGGAATAAGCGTACAAATCACGTTTGAAACTATGTATTTGTTCGGATATACTGTAATTAAATTTGAAATGTCCGGATATTGCGATAAAAAAAAGAGACTTCCCTATTGATAATTAATTGAAACGAAAAAAGTATTAAATATTTTTAATAACCAGTATGATGATAGCAGTGATAAAATGATTGCTACATTACATAGCATGTCTCAAACCTTCTTCAGGTGCACCGGAAAGGTCCATCAATAATGTTTATTCCGGATTTAAGTGGGCGTTTCGGATCTCTAAATACATCAGGACCCTTCGCCCCCCACCCCCCGGCGATCGAGTCCAGGAGAGATTGCCTCCTCAGTTGAATAAAACGTTTTAATGTAACAGTGTATAATAAATATTTATTGCCCTAATCTTGTATTGAGCCCTGATTTAAATTAATGTTTCGCAATTTTATTCATCGTTCTTTTACATTTTATATATATATATATATATATATATATATATATATATATATATATATATATACTTTATGTAGTCGTATTTCGATGCGCTTACAACGCGTCTCATCAGACGATTGTAATTGTGTAGCGATTTTGACATGTTTTCGGTGTAATAACATAAAATAAAGAATATTGATCTACTTTGTATTGAGCTCTCTTTTAAATGAAATGTTACGAACATTGGAATTGTACTCTATTCGTTCTCATCTTACCTGAATATATATATATATATATGTGTGTGTGTGATAAAAATATAGTTTTAAGGGATGCTATATATATATATGTGTGTGTGTGTGTGTGTGCGTTACAGTTCTTCATATTAGGCATAGAGCGTATAAATATATAAAAGTGGACATTGAAGTCAACAAACAGCGGCGTCAGTATATTTATATGCTTAAACGCAATCTTCAGGTTTGAAGATTGCGTTTAAGCATGAAATGGATTGTCGCTACTAATGTTGGTCTCAATGTCCACTTATACACACACACACACACACACACACACATACACATATATATATATATATATATATATATATATACAAAATTAATCACATAGAATTAATCAAATATCAATGCGATTATTGGCGACATCCGTCACTAGAAAACATAATATATGCATTAAAATCCTGTTCATCCATAGTGCGAGTTTTGATCCTTGAAGAAAAACTTGTTGTCTGTAGTTTTTTCAGTTTATTCGCACTATGGATGAACAGGATTTTAATGCATATATTATGTTTTCTAGTGACGGATGTAAAAATAACGCATTGATATATTGATTAATTTATGTGTGATTAAATTTGTATGTAAATCATATGCTGCCTAATGTTTTATATATATATATATATATATGCGTGTGTATGTATGTATTTCCTCTTCTAATTCGTTTCCACCATGCTCTAAGTCAAAGTAAATGGTTGAACCACATTTCTGTATATTATTTTAAAAATCGAGAAGGATGACTTTTGACAAGTTTATTCGAATCTTTATTTTTTACGTGACTCTCTTCATTGCATTCCAGAATGTCATCTGTGCTGAAACTGGAGAGACGTGTTACGTAAATATTTTGGAGATGTCCGTAGCATATCAAAAGTAATAAAAGATGTGTTTGAAAGCGTCAACGACTTGCTTTTTGTTGAGGTAAAGTGAACAGGTCTTAAAGAAAGCAGAATATTGTTTAGCCTTAAAGGGATCAGGATTTTTATTGTCGTATAGGGAGCAGATCCTTTTGTAAGTGTGAAGGAACCAAGTATTTTGTAGGCATAAAAGGGAGTCTTTTTGTAGGCATAAAAGGAGTAGGACCTTTGTGGGCGTAAAGTGAGCCGCCCTTTTTTTAGGTTTCAAATGAGTAGACATTTTTGTCGGCTTAAAGGGAGTAGGTTTTCTTGTAGCATTTAAGAGAAGAAGTCCTTTTTGAAGGTGCAACGGATACAGGCTTTTTTGTAGACAAAAAAAAGGAGTACATTTAAGGGAGCAGACCTTTCGTGGACGTAAAAAAAAAGTCAAGACTTTTGAAGGAGAAAAGTGAGCAAGCCTTTTTTAGACGTAAAGGGATCGGTGTTACCCTTTTCTTCCTCTGATAATATGTTTCTAGTATTTCACAATTAAAGAATAAAACAATTCTCTTTAAAAGTAAAAGTACTTTAAGTGATAATAACATAAATTCGACATACGCGTCAAGTAAGTTGTTTTTTGTCTCTACCCCGAAACATTTACTTAGCGCCAGGATTTGTGGTTTAATCCTTCAACTTACAGTTACAACTATCAATTTCAAAGGATCGATTGATAGATAGATAGATAGATAGATAGATATGAACAGACTGAGATAGATAGATAGATAGATAGATAGATAGATAGATAGATAGATAGATAATAAACAGAATGAAATATAGATAGATAGACAGATAGATAGATCATGAACCAAATTAGATACATAGATAGATAGATAGATAATAAACAGAATGAAATATATATATATATATATAGAGATAGAGAGATAGATAGATCATGAACCAAATTAGATAGATAGATAGATAGATAGATAGATAGATAGATAGATAGATAATATACAGAATTAAATATATATATAGATAGATAGACAGATAGATAGATAGATCATGAATTTATAAATAGATAGATAGATAGATAGATAGATAGATAGATCATGAACCAAATTAGATAGATAGATAGATAGATAGATAGATAGATAGATAGATAGATAGATAGATAGATCATGAACAAAATGAGATAGATAGATAGATAGATAATAAACAGATTGAAATAGATAGATAGATAGATAGATAGATAGATAGATAGATAGATAGATAGATAGATAGATGAACAGACTAAGTTTTATGAAGAAAGTTAAAGATGTATATATTTAGATAAATATGAATAGCTAGCGAGATAGATAGATAACACGGCAAAAAGAAACTATGAAAAAGAGACAGGTATACATCACGAGAGGAAAAGTTATGCAAAAACTCAAGAGAAAAAAAAAGATGACTGGCTCAAATAACAAAACAAGATGGAAGACGAGGTTTGCAATGATAAAAGAAAGGATGAAATTCAACGTTCCAAACCGATTGCTTGTCAGCGCTTCAGTCACGGAGTGCACTTGAATCTGAAAATCTCTTATCGACGCGTGTCTAATTCGTTTCATGTTGCGACGGCGGTAGAAACGCAGAGAGATGGGGGAAAAAAAGGGGTTTCCGATCCGTTTCCTTCGATGCTAGACTGTCTCCTCATCGGATTTCTCCTATTACTTGGACCGACCGATGCTTCCTCGTTTAGTTTGCCGCTACAGATTTATTCTAGTGACTAATGAACTTTCTAAGAGGCAAACAGACAAACTAGAGACGCACACAGTATCACGAAAAGACGCATACGGAGAAACACACCCAGGAATTGTGGCAGTTCAATTTTTTTTTTTTTGAACTATTTTCGTATTATGTCACGCTTTTTGTTGCAAGCCAAGTCAACAGACACACATGTACGCGCGCATACACACGAATAGACATACATGCACACACACTCACAAGAGTTGATCAATAAATTCGCAGTCTGACAGAAAATTAACGGTTATCTCTTCCATCTAACTTCACGAACCGCATTTATTGCCCCGTCTTTTTAGAAGTAGATATATATTTTGAGAGTTAGTCTGATAATTTGATGTTTGGGTTCAAATCTCACCATATATCAATTTGTCGAACTGGTAGACTAATGATATTTTCGGACTGGAAAGTGTCTGAAAGCCATACCCCGGACCGACCAAGCCTTGTGAGTAAAATTGGGTAGACGGACCCTTGGAGGCGGCGCCGATAGCTGTGCTAATGCAAAGTCATCTTGGCCGAGAGCTTGTTCAAATTGTTGATCCCGCTAGATAACATATTCTTTCCCAGAAACCGTAACTAAGGTCTGCTCAGCATAGTTGCAGTATAAACCACAGGTGGGCTCTGTAGGTTTTGAATAAACACAAAATGCGCCTGAGCAAGCGTCTGCAATTGGAATAGTAGACGGTTATCCTCAAATACGAGTGGCCAGCTATAGATAGCTTGAGTGTCTCTTGTGCATTGTATTTGGTGAACGTAAAATGTAAAAATAAAACTCTCATCTAGTTGTTGTGAGTTCAATCGCTGGTTCAGCAGGAACGAACAAGAACTATCAACACAGGCATAGAATGACCAAATAATCAACAGATATGACATATCAACCAAACAATTAACACCTAAATATGGCTAGAAATATTTAGCCGAAATGTTGAGTCTATAACACCATCTATATTAATTGACTGGGGCACCACGAGGCGGTGTAATGGTCAGCAAGCTTGTCTCGCTAGAACAATTACGACTGAATAGTGAGTTCGATCCTCACTGGGTGCCCCTTGCTTTCGGCCTTGTGCCACATCTAAGCTACGCTTGGAAAATCACTATATATTGGGCACCTCCAGGCGGTACAATGGTTAGCAATCTTGTCTCGCTAGAACAATTACGACTGAGTCGTGAGTTCGATCCTTGTGCCACGTCTAAGCTACGCTTGGAGAATCACTATATTAATTGACAGATTTGTTTTTTAACGGCTTATCAACCCATTTTAGGTTGTTTAAAGCCAGAAAATATTTTTAGATTGTAAAAATATTTTGGGGAGAAAATAATGATTTACTGATAGAAATTTTACTAATTAGCCCATAGCTTGGGGAAAGAGGCAGATTCACACATTTCGCAGGGATATATCAGTGCAAGATAACATAAGGAAGCCGACACGAATTGGAACTCGACTGTCTCATTTCAAATTGCAAGCTGTTGTCCATTATACCGTCGCACATCGAAGCTTATAGCATCTGGTATTCCCAAGCGGTTACCCATCTATGTACAGAATAGTCTCGATGTTGCTTAACTTTGGTGAAGGCACGAAGATCGGTGTTCCAGTGTGATATGGCCGTAAGCACATTAGACCACCTTTATAATTTTAACCCAATATTTACAGTACCCGGATGTCCTCAGAGGTCACCCATCTAGGTACTAGCCAGGTTCGACATTGCTTAACGTGATATAGCTGTAAACCCAATAATCAAGATGAGAACAGTAGGTTGAATAAATTGGAATATATTCCGCAGGTAAAAAATAAATTACAAAATTATTATTGCTGTGTTCTACTCTTTCACGGAGTCAGTCTTTTTACTTTCATTTTGAAGCGACCATGGGGTTAGGTGATTTGTGTTTTTTTTTAAAAACATATTTGTAATAACTTTTTTCTCGAATGGGTGATTTTTTAGTTCTCACAAATTTAGCGAGCTTGTTGCAATATTTTGAAAAAAACAACCCTCCAGGCATAATGAATCTAACCAAAGTGCTCCTGCTATATATTTAGGGATTCTTGATAAAATCCAAAGAAAAATCTGCAATGTCTTTGGCCCTAATCTGGCATCTCAGCTTCAGTTTCTTTATATAACTACCGTGATATATATATTTGTGATTTTTTTTTAAAAATAAATTCTTTCATAGTAATTGTTCTGACGAACTTTCCTCTACGGTACCTAGAACTTATGAATTTAAGCGCAATACTAGGTAGGTACCAATATTTTCTACCAAGACCCTCTTTGCTGCGTCCACATACTAAAGTCACCTTCATTTCCTATGTTAAGAAGGATGTCCCACTCAGAAAGCTTATTCTCAAGAATCACTACTGTGTGTAACTGACTCCGGAGGGAATGCTCTCTCGAACCCTATTGTCTTCATCTCTTCAAGTTTGGGTCGATCGTTATCTGTCCTCATAATCTTCATTTCCTCCTTTTATTTTCATATTACAAACTAAATTCAGCAATCCTCTACTTTGTGTGGCTCTTAGGCCTTGAATAAAATTTAATATAGAATTATTTTTAACCCACAGCCGCAGCAGAAGTGGTGTTTCTTGGGAGTTTTTTCTTCTCCTAGATAGGTAGGACGTGGTCTGTCCTGCTATTTACCCATAGCTGGAGGGGAGTAGAAGAGGAGGATTCATACCATTCCCCAAAATATTAGCACGTAAGTGAATGTAATGGATACAACTGAAATTCGAAATCCGAAAATGCTGTCCATTTTACTTCACTGTACCTCCTCTCAGTCTCTTCCCCCCTCTCTCTCTATCTCTCTCTCTATATATATATATATATATATATATATATATATATATATATGAAAAATATAGTTTTAATTAATATTTATGGGATAAAGTGCTCAATATCAGAGAGCGTATTAAAATATAAAAGTGAACATTTAAGTTAACACTGTTTCATGCTAGACGCAATATATATATATATATATTATATGAAAATAAAAAATTTCAAAATATCTGAGTTATGACTAAAATGTTTATATTTCATATATATATATATATATATATATAAAAGTGAACATAGACGTCAACACTTAGAGGCTACAGTCTGTTTCATGCTATATGCAATCGTCAGGCCACGTGTGCTGTTATTTTTCTCGCCTATTTATATATATACGGGTCAGTGGTGCATTGTGGGTAGTCTATTATGGCGGTTATTTTACCGGAAGTCGTTTATTTATTTATTTGGGTTAAATTATTTTGCTTGTTTTTATTTATTTTTTTATTTTTTTTTTTTATTTTTTATTTATTTATTTATTTATTTTAATCGGTTTTTTATTAACGTAGTAAAAAATTTGTTTATATCACTTATTTAATAGTTTTGTTTTGGTTTGAGAATTTAATTAAAGCTATTTGTTCAATTTTGGGGTTGATTGTTGTAGTTTATTCTAACTATTATTTTGGCAGGAACAGTTTTTAATTTGTTTTTATTCATTATTTGATTATCTTTATTTTTTTTTTTCTAACGGTAACTTTATCGGGATTGGTTTGTTTATTTATTTATTTGGATGAATTTAGGTCAATTTATTTTTACTTGTATATTTTTATTTTTCGGTTTTCGATTTTTAAGTAATTAGTATTTTTTTATTTATTTTTATTTTAGTATTTTTTTATCGTTATATAACAGTTATAGCTATTTTTTTCGTCCGATTTTTTTTTGGTTTGATTTTTTTAGTCTAACTAATATTTTGGTTATAATGGTTTGCTAATTTGTTTGTTTATTATTTACTTTATTTATTTGGGTTGATTTTGGTTTGATTTTATTTTTTTTTTTTTATTATTATTCTATTTCGTCTAATCTAACAGGTGTGATTTTTAATTTGTTTGGATTAGTTAATTTTGCTTATTTTATTATTATTTTGTTTACTTGTTTATTTATTTGTTTTTATTTTATTTTTTCCGTTTTCAATTTTTAAGTAACGTAGTAAAATTTGTTTTCATGTCTGCATTCTGAGATGAGCTCGGATTTTTTATTTAATAATTTATTTTGGTCTGGAAAAGTAATGATAGCTATTTTTCCTCCAAGCAAAGTTTGCAAGTTTTTGATTGGTTGTTGTAGGCTGATGATCTTTTCCTTATTTTCCAAGATATTTTTGGTGTGATGTGCGTTTTGTTTTTAATTTCCCAGATATACTTAGAAAGCATTGTACTGTTCGCATATTTACTATTTGTGAAAGATGTTTTGTGTGTATAATTTCTTTGTTTGCAGGGTCCTTCAGTTACTCCTATGTATACATTTTCTTCATTATCTGGTGATTTTATCGTGGCTTGGTATATTACGTTGTTTTGTAAACAATTTCTGTTTAAGGGACATTCGTTCTTTATTCTGCAGTTGCACGTGGGTTTAATTTGTTCGTGTGGTTTGTTGATAATTTTCTTGTTGTGCTTTGTGCAATGAATCCATATTTAACAAAGCTAAGAAAGACTATGAAACAGCCCTAAAGGATAGCGGATTCCCAGCAACACTCACATACTCACCACAGAACACAAAAAAGGTCAACAGGAGAAGAAATATCATATGGTTCAACCCACCGTACAGCAAAAACGTCAAAACAAACGTAGGAAAAATATTCTTCAAACTCTTACACAAACACTTCCCGGAATCAAGCACCCTACACAAAATATTCAACAAAAACACAGTAAAAATCAGCTACAGTTGCACCAAGAACATGGCACAAATAATAAAAACGCAAACAAAAAATAAAAATAAATAAAAAGAAGCAAAGTAATTTAACCCAAATAAATAAATAAACGACTTCTGGTAAAATAACCACCATAATAGACTACCCACAATGCACCACTGACCCGTATATACATAAATAGCCGAGAAAAATAAAAGCACACGTGGCCTGACGATTGCATATAGCATGAAACAGACTGTCGCCTCTAAGTGATGACTTCTATGTTCACTTTTATATTTACACACGCTCTATCTCTGATATTGAGCACTTTATCCCATAAATATAGAACACCTTAAGACTATATATATATATATATATATATATATATATATATATACTGTAAAATAATAACAATCGTGTCTTAGTTCCGCAGAAGGTAAATGGGAGGTATTCGCTTGTTTGTCATAAAACCTCTTGGGAAAATAAAAGATAACCAAATTCCAACGATGCTGGGAACAATGAAAACATCGTGCTTTGGTAGAAAAGAAACAAGCAAACAAGCAATCGAAAACCTGAATGCAATTAATGGTAGTATATTCCGTTTCCCTCTAAGGAAAGATTCGGTATTCATTAACTGAGCAGCCAGTGTTACTTTCTGTTGAAATTTCTAAAATCTTTCTATTGAAACAGTTTTTTCAGGACAAACCGTTTCTCAACGTCACTATTTCCAGTAATGGTGTTGTTTTTCTTCTTAACCCTTTGAGCATTAATATGTTGTTGTGTTGGACATGAATATGTAGTTTCTGACAAGTTCTTCTTTGTCTGTGTAGCAGTCCTACACCATGTGACACTTAACATTTTTCTATCTTTGCCAAGCTTCCTTGCACCCCCCCGTTCAAGTTACATAGAGAAAAAGGAGGCAGAAATAGAGAACTAGGAATGATTCAAGAGAAAGAATTTTAACAAAATAAAACTGGAGAAAGGGATGATAGAATGAGAATGAAGAAATATAAAGAATATAAAAGAAAGAAAGAAAGAAAGAAAGAAAGAAAGAAAGAAAGATCTTAATGTAATAAAACCTGAGAAAGGGGAGGAAGAATAGCAAAGAGGGAAAAGGGATTAATATAAAAGAAATTACGAAGAAAGGAAGAAAGAAAGAAAGAAACAAACAAACAAACAAAAAGAAAGAAAGAAAGAAAGAAAGAAAGAAAGAAAGAAAGAAAGAAAGAAAAGAAAGAATAGGGGAGGCAGAATAAGAAAGAGGAAAAGGGAAATAATATAATAGAATTTAAGAAGAAAGAAAGAAACAAACAAACAAACAAACAAACAAACAAAAAGAAAGAAAGAAAGAAAGAAAGAAAGAAAAGAAAGAATAGGAGAGGCAGAATAACAAAGAGGAAAAGGGGAATAATATAATAGAATTTAAGAAGAAGAAAAGAAAGAAAGAAAGAAAGAAAGAAAGAAAGAAAGAAAGATCTTAATGTAATAAAAACTGAGAAAGGGGAGGACTAATAGCAAAGAAGGAAAAAGAATTAAGATTATTAACAAAAGAAAGAAAGAAAGAAAGAAAGAAAGAAAGAAAGAAAGAAAAAAGAAAGAAGGAAAGAATTGAGAATCTTAAGGTAATAAAACAGGAGAAAGAGAAGAAGAGAGAAATTGAATGTCTTATTAATGGCAGTCAGCATATACAGGACACAACTAGAGAAATGAAAACTGTGGTAATAGAGATAAGATCTTTGATCTTTACATTAAGCAGAACATACGCTCATCAGCAGATTAGGAATTGTATAAATGCCTGGATTTTGATCATGCAAACCATGACATAGGCATAATCCAGAATCTGTTATAATGAATATAAAGATTAAAAAAAAACAATAAATTTTATCTGAGTTTGACATTCAAACGGATTATCCAACGAATGTCAGATGATCAGATCTCATCATCCGAAACAAAGAAAAGAAAAACTGCCAGACAATGGACGTAGCTGTTTCAACAGATCATAGAATGAAATTGAACGGAATTGATAGATCAGTGGGGGGGAGGAAACGTTATACATCGGTACATTACTGAAACTCTGTGATTGGAATAACAGGAAATCCGAGGAAGAAAAAAACCACCAAAAAACAAACAAATCAAAACCATTAAGGCGACAGTATAAATGCTGAGGAGAGTTCTGAAGCTTCGAGGAGACTTGCTGTCCATTGATCTAAGGAGAAGTGAAAATTGAACTACAACAAATAGTAATAACGACAATTTGAATGAAATCAGCAATGATAAATATGAGATGTAATGAAATTTATGAAATATGAGATGTGAAGAAATTTATGAAATATAAGTAGTAAGGAAATATATGAAGTATTAAATGTAAGGAAATTTATGAAATATAAATAGTAATGAAATTTATGAAAGATGTGATGTAAAGGAATTTATAAATTAAGAATAAAGAAATTTATAAAATATGAGATGTAAGGAAATTTATGAAATATAGATAAGGAAATTTATTAATTATTAGATGTAAAGAAATTTATTAAATATAAGTAGTAAGGAAATTTATGAAATATGAGATGTAAGGAAATTTATGAAATATAAATAATAAAGAAATTTATTAATTATTAGTTGTAAAGAAATTTATGAAATATAAGTAGTATGGAAATTTATGAAATATGCGATGTAATGGAAATTATGGGAAATGAATAATAATGAAATTTATAAAATAGGAGATGTAAGGAAATTTATGAAATATAAGTAAGAAAATTTATGACATTTGAAATGTAAGGAAACTTATGAAATATAAAGATTAAAGAGATTTATGAAGTATGAAATGTAAAGAAATGTATGAAATAAGAGATGTAAGCAAATTTATGAAATATGAGTAGTAAGGAGATTTATTGTCAATTGATAACCAATGAAAGCATCCACCTTATACAAATGTTACAATTCATTTTCAGAATTTTTTTTTATAATACCCTGTCCCATCAGAACGTAGACGATAAAGGTTCTCCAGGGTAGTGACATTTTCCCATCACCAAGCACACCCCTAATTTGCACTTCTCGCAATGAACGAGTGCTCTCATAAAGAGGCCCCATGCCTTGATTCCATATTGGGAATTAAATCAATTCAGACCACAAGTGGGACTCATAGATACGAACCATTCCTAAAGACACTCGAAAGATGGTCGGTTCCCTGTACCGCTCCAGTAAGTACCTGACACCTCATGCTATCCTCTACCTTTACAAGAGCCAGATCAGGCTATAAATGGAGTATTGTTGCCATATATGGCCAGTTTTCATTTTTTCAAAAGAACTAGATCAGGCTATAAATGGTATATGTGGCCAGTTTTCATTTACTTAAAAGAGCTAGATCAGGATATAAATGGCATATATGGCCAGATTTCTTTTTCTTAAGAGAGCTAGATCAGGCTATAAATGGCATATATGGCCAGTTTTCATTTCCTCAAAAGAGCTAGATCAGGCTATAAATGGCATATATGGCCAGTTTTCGTTTTCTTAAAAGAGCGAGATTTAAATGGCTTAAGTGGAGTTTTCATTTCTCAAAAAGAGCTAGATCAGGCTATAAATGGCATGTGGCCAGTTTTCATTTTCTCAAAAGAGCTAGATCAGGCTATAAATGGCATATGTGGCCAGTTTTTCATTTTTAGATCAGGCTATAAATGGCATATGTGGCCAGTTTTCATTTTCTTAAAAGAGCTAGATCAGGCTATAAATGGCATATATGGCCAGTTTTCATTTTCTCAAAAGAGCGAGATCAGGCTCTAAATGGCATATGTGGCCAGTTTTCATTTTCTCAAAAGAGCTAGATCAGCCTATAAATGGCATAAGTGGTCAGTTTTCATTTTCTCAAAAGAGCGAGATCAGGCTATAAATGGCATATATGGCCAGTTTTCGTTTTCTTAAAAGAGCGAGATCAGGCTATAAATGGCATAAGTGGCCAGTTTTCATTTTCTCAAAAGAGCTAAATCAGGCTATAAATGGCATGTGGCCAGTTTTCATTTTCTCAAAAGAGCTAGATCAGCCTATAAATGGCATATGTGGCCAATTTTCATTTAGATCAGGCTATATATGGCATATGTGTCCAGTTTTCATTTTATCAAAAGAGCTAGATCAGCCTATAAATGGCATAAGTGGACAGTTTTCATTTTCTCAAAAGAGCTAGATCAGGCTATAAATGGCATAAGTGGCCAGTTTTCATTTTCTCAAAAGAGCTAGATCAGCCTATAAATGGCATAAGTGGCCAGTTTTCATTTTCTCAAAAGAGCTAGATCAGGCTATAAATGGCATGTGGCCAGTTTTCATTTTCTCAAAAGAGCTAGATCAGCCTATAAATGGCATATGTGGCCAATTTTCATTTAGATCAGGCTATATATGGTATATGTGGCCAGTTTTCATTTTCTTAAAAGAGCGAGATCAGGCTATAAATGGCATATGTGGCCAGTTTTCATTTTATCAAAAGAGCTAGATCAGCCTATAAATGGCATAAGTGGACAGTTTTCATTTTCTCAAAAGAGCTAGATCAGGCTATAAATGGCATATGTGGCCAGTTTTCATTTTCTTAAAAGAGCTAGATCAGGCTATAAATGTCATATGTGGTCAGTTTTCATTTTTTAAAAGGCATAGATCAGGCTATGGCATAATGGCATTTCCTAAAAGAGCGAGATCAGGCTCTAAATGGCAGTGGTGTTTTCATTTTCTCAAAAGAGCTAGATCAGCCTATAAATGGCATAAGTGGTCAGTTTTCATTTTTCTGAAAAAGAGCTAGACAGGCTATAAATGGCATATATGGCCAGTTTTCGTTTTGTTTAAAAGAGCGAGATAGGCTCTAAATGGCATATGTGGCCAGTTTTCATTTTCTCAAAAGAGCTAGATCAGGCTATATATGGCATATGGTCTGTTTTTTCATTTTCTTTAAAGAGCTAGATCAGGCTATAAATGGCATAACAGTTTTCATTTCCTCATTCTGAGATCAGGCTCTAAATGGCATATGGCCAGTTTTTCATTTTCTCAAAAGAGCTAGATCAGCCTATAAATGGCATAAGTGGTCAGTTTTCATTTTCTCAAAAGAGCGAGATCAGGCTATAAATGGCATATATGGCCAGTTTTCGTTTTCAAAAAAGAGCGAGATCAGGCTATAAATAAGTGGCCGGGCTAAATCAGGCTATAAATGGCATGTGGCCAGTTTTCATTTCTCGCGCGATCAGCCTATAAATGGCATATGTGTCCCAATTTTCATTTAGATCACCTATATATGGCATATGTGTCCAGTTTTCATTTTATCAAAAGCTAGATCAGCCTATAAATGGCATATTTTGACAGTTTTCATTTTCTCAAAAAAGAGCTAGATCGTCTATAAATGGCATAAGTGTCTGTTTTCATTTTCTCTAGATCACCTATAAATGGCCTTTTCATTTTTCTCTTTGAGCTAGAAATATAAATGGCATGTGGCCAGTTTTCATTTTCTCAAAAGAGCTAGATTAGCCTATAAACCATGTGGCCAATTTTCATTTAGATCAGGCTATATATGGTATATGTGGCCAGTTTTTCATTTTCTTAAAAGACGAGATCAGGCTATAAATGGCATATTGGCCAGTTTTCATTTTATCAAAAGAGCTAGATCAGCCTATAAATGGCATAATGGACAGTTTTCATTTTCTCAAAAGAGCTAGATCAGGCTATAAATGGCATATGTGGCCTATTTTTTCATTTTCTTAAAAGAGCTAGATCAGGCTATAAATGGCATATCAGTTTTCATTTTTCTAAAAGAGCTAGATCAGGCTATAAATGGCATATATATGCTATTTTCATTTCCTCAAAAAGAGCGAGATCAGGCTCTAAATGGCATATGTGGCCGGTTTTCATTTTCTCAAAAAGAACATCAGCCTATAAATGGCATAAGTGGTCAGTTTTTTTTTCATTTGAATCGCCTGCTAGATCAGGCTATAAATGGCATATAAAAAGTTTTCGTTTTCTTAAAATGCGAGATCAGGCTCTAAATGGCATATGTTCAGTTTTTTCATTTTTCAAAAGAGAAAAGAGATCAGGCTATAAATGGCATGTGGCCAGTTTTCATTTTCTCAAAAAAGCTAGATCAGCCTATAAATGGCATATGTGGCCAATTTTCATTTAGATCCAGGCTATTTATGGCATATTTTGTGTTTTTTTCATTTTCTTTAAAAGAGGAGATCAGGCTATAAATGGCATCTGTGGCCAAAAAGAATTTTATCAAAAAAGCTAGATCAGCCTATAAATGGCATTAAAACAGTTAAAATTTTCTCAAATCTACTAGATTCCCTATAAATGGCATATGTTTTAAGTTTTCATTTTCTTAAAAGATTTAGATTCCCTATAAATGTCATATGTATATTTTCATTTCCTCAAAAGAGCGAGATCAGGCCTAAATGGCTTTTACCTCCATCCCCTCAAAAGAGCTAGATCAGCCTATAAATGGCATATTTGGTCAGTTTTCATTTTCTCAAAAGAGCGAGATGACCTATAATGGTATATATCGCCAGTTTTCCTTTTTCTTCCCAAAATAAAGATCAGGCTATAAATGGCATAACTTGGCCAGTTTTATTTTTCAAAAAGAGCTAAATCAGGCTAT